CCAGTGCGATGCTTGTTCGGGACAACGACGCGGAATTGATCGTACGTAAAACAATGCGTGTGGCAGTTGAATAGGTTTTTTTTAGACGTAATTAATAATTATTCGCCTGGGGTATTTTTGATATTCCAACATTATGTCTCAATTTTTATTATTTCTTTTAATGATTCATATTTAAATAAGCAAAGAATATTCTATATATGTTCCTTAAAGATACATGCACATTTCCTTAATATCGTAAAATAATTTGTGTTAATTACAGCTTTGGCTAAAAGTACTAAATATCTCGTTAATCATTACTTAATTTTTCAGTTAATAAATTAAATTAAGACACTACTGTAACTGCAAATTATCTATGTTTCAGAAATTCTTTAAACTTACGTATAATGCCGATCATGGCTCGATAAAATAACATACGAATTATTAACAATAAAAAACATAAAATAAGTTTCAGAAACTTAATTAAAATACAAAATTGTAGAAATTGGTAAAGCAGATACGACTTTTTTTATATTAAAAATATAAAATAGTTTCCGGAAAATTTTTATATAAAATATTAAGTAAGAAATAAGTCAGAAGTGTAGTTAATTCAAATAATGAATATTACTCGTATAAATAATTCTTTTAATTTTTTACGGATTTAAATAGCGCATAAATAGCGCATAAATCCTGTGTATTTAATTTTCCAAATCGGTTGATTTTAACGGGTGGGCTGACTGACTGCATATTCAGTCCCCCCAGAAAAATATTTTTTTTTTAGCTAAACGGAATAAGAGTAAAAATATTTCTGTACGGATTTAAATAGCGCATAAATAACCCATAAATCCTGCGTATTTAATTTTCCAAATCGGTTGATTTTAACGGGTGGGCTGACTGACTTCATACTCAGTCCCCCCAGAAAGATATTTTTTTTTTAGCTAAACGGAATAAGAGCAAAAATTTTTTTTTGCGAATGTGAGTAGCGCATAAATAGCGCATTATTCCAGAAGTGGTATTTAGTTATCTTAAACGCCATGAAATACAGCGCTGTTATAAATATGTTAATGACTTTTTATCGCGATATTATTAAGTTTTATATTCCCAAATTAATAATTAATAGTAAATACGATCTAATTGTTGTTATTATTTCTTCTGCATTAATTAATATTTCATTAAACATTGGCTTAGAAAAATTTGTATTATCGTACATATTTTCGACGTTTTCGTATAATCTCGCATTACTAAAATTTTTTTATTATGGTCCTATATTATCATTTTTATTATATTTTGAAGCATTGATAATTGTATTGTAAACAATTATTATAATTGTAATGTCGAATTGTATAAAGGAATAATACAAAGAATAATATTCAAAAAGTTATTGCAATTTCATTAGCGAAATACAATAAAATAATTAGACATTAAAAATAAAAAAATAAATTTTAAATATACTTACATTTAGCAAAAACGGGCTACTAAATTTATTAGTAGCTCGTTTGTTTTACGGCTGTTCTACAATGTGCTTCTTGTTTCCTGTTTCTTGCTGTTTGTCTCTGTTTGTCTCTTGTCTTTTTGATCAAGAAGGCAAGAGACAAACAGCAAGAAACAGAAAACAAAAAGCACATTGTAGAACAGCCATTATGGCTGAGTATATTTACAAAGAAAAGAGGACCGCCGATAAAATTGGTGGGAGTGGTGGAGGGCCTCTATATCTCGTTTTTGCTCAATTATACCTTAAATTGATAATATATATTTTTAGAAAAGATTGAATTTATTAAAATCCTCTATATAATTGCTCTAGTAATTATAGAGACTTTGATGCATACTAGTAATTATGTCTGGTAAAAACGGGCTGAAAATTGGCATAAAGAAACATAACTTCGTAATTTTATAAGATATTATAAGATAAAATTCATTAAATTATCTTATTTGAATTTTCAATTTCGTTTATTAAAATTCAACAACTTTTATTTACATATGTAGGAGATGCAAAATTAAAATTTTTTCGTTCGAGATCCCATTACAGTGTCCTTCCTATGGATAGTCTGCACGCTTTTGTCCTGAGGATTTAGTACAGAGAAGAACCGCATATACTTACAACGATACGATTTTATCGATAGTGTTGGAAAGTGTATATATATCATAGTCACGTAGTTCCCAAGCTGAAAATGAGTGTAATGGCGGTAGTGAATTGGTGATTTCGACGGTATCAGGACGAAGACCGTCATGGTCATAGCCTCTCTGAGGGTTCCAGGAATCCAGGTTCCAGTCCAGAGGGTTCTCTCTGATCGTGCCGTCAAACCCAACGAGCTCGAGCGCCATAGTAATTTGCTCCATGTAATGGTAGAGTGGTGGTTCATAAATTCGTAAACACGGAACTCATGGAAAGTTCCAGAATCATTCCCAGCTAAAACGACTGCCGTCGCCCGCGTCAACATGTGATTTTCGTGAAACCGGCGTCTCTTAGATCCCCGTGATCGCCATAATCGCTCCCTAACGAGAACCTAACCTAACCTAACCTAACCTAACCTAACAGTGACACTTCCGCAACGATTTTACGATCGGCACTGCTGCCGCTACTGTAGTTATTTTAATCCTTTGTATAACTCTAGTATCGCTTGTTCCGCTCCGTCTACAAAAAACGGTATCTTAGCGAAGTCAGATTCGTGATAACCTCGGCAGAGTCACGAAGGCGCAATTGCGTTCGATCGTTCGATGATAACGCATCATAGGAGCGGCTCACGTTGGTTGCGGTGATCTAACAGGAACAGGCTGACCAGGCATGCACCTGATGCATGCGGCGCAATTATACGCGGGTGATCATCTTCGGGTGTGTGTACTTTCGTCCTACGTCGTGCTATCATGAGCGAAGAGTCTAGAAAGATAGTTACCAGGTTCCACCCCATCCACGGTGAGAACATCCTCCTGTGCGAAGACAGTACAGTCGCGGTACGGACTACGAGCTTTGCCAATTCGGTGGCCTTCAGCGAGAAGCCGTTGCAGCCTGGGGAGATCTTCCTCGTGGAGATCGAGAAGACGGAGAGAGGATGGAGCGGACACATGCGGCTGGGTCTCACTTTGATCGATCCAGCTTCGGTTAACAACAACCTGCCTCAATATGCAATGCCCAATCTGGTTAGATTAGGCAACACGTGGATCCTCGCTATAACTAGAAATCAAACTATCTGGGATAATTTTGACGGTGGTCTATCTTCCACATACACTTCTATTACAGGTTAATATCTGTTATGAAATCACTATGATAATTTTATAAAAATTCTCTTTATCAATATTACAGTTAATTTTGGAAATTAAAGAAGAAGTTTATTAAAAATGATATACTATGCCTGTTTTTTTAGCTGAACTTGCAAAGTTTGTCTCCTTTTTCTTTTCATATTGAAAAGAAAAAGATAAAAGAACTGTGCAAGAAGGTTAGTTAGAAAAAGAACGGACCTACTATATTTGTAATATTAATATAAAAATTGCTACAAGTTTCAAAACATATAATTTTTTATGAAAATATCTAGACATAATAAAAGAGCATGCACAATTATATATGTATTAGATGAATTTAGTATTTATATATGTTACACATTTGCTGAACATTATATACTTGTTCATAAAAAGGACTACCACCAGGAATACCAGCCAGAGAGAAGAAATTGGTAACAGATGGAGTCAACGTGCAAACGTCACGCGGTGTTATTCCTTTTAATGCTCTAAAACCAAATATAGATGGTTCTTCTCAATGCATCCTGCCTACAGACGCGGGTAGTCGTATTGGTATCATGTATGTGCCACAGGCCGGTTGCCCTGATAAAGCAGAAATGCATTTCATCATCAACGGTGAGGATCAGGGTGTATGCGGCAAGGATATTCCTTATAAAGCAGGACCTTTGCGTGCAGTAGTGGATGTCTACGGTACCACGAAACAAGTTCGAATAGTTCAACTGTATGGAGGTAAGTATCTATGTCTTAGATCATGTTCCGTTTCTCTATTCAGCATGGTTTCTAGATTGTTTCTATATGTTTCAGCAGTATCAACACTACAGAGTGCATGCCGTGACGCTATATTGCAATACACCAAGAGAAACGCAGTCAATCTGCTCCCTTTGCCGAGACTACTGAAGGACTATCTCTTATATCAATCACAGTGAGAATCAGCTCATTCCGCTTTTGCATATGTTAGGAAATATTATCTATCAATTTCTATATCTTTTCCCAGTGATATCTTCAGTGTTTATATATGCGTAACATATATGTTCTATTCATTATTGAAGACTGCCGAATCATATCGATTCAAAACGTTGGTGCGAATATATTCGTTTCTATAAACATATCTTTTCGAAATGTATATGGTAGAAATGATTGACTATGTTTAATAATGAAGAATTCTTTTTACTTGCGCGTTTTGAAGATTTTTCTGGGGCAGAAAGGTTAAATTATAACATGTATATAGTGTAACGAAATGTTAATCGCTGCAAAATCGAAAAATTCAGCGAGATCATATTGAAAGTTTAAATATACATAACTATCATTTGGAAATGACCATATATGAGGCATAACAATGCTACATATAAAAGTTAGATATATTTTCAGGCAGTTAGTTTTATTCTACTTATATTTCCTGGTTTCTCTATTTATTATGAGATATGTAGATTAAGTTGCAATTGGCACTGTTGTTAAACAAACAAAAACGAACAATGTTAGTATAAATGTCCAAAGCAAACTTGTTTTACAAAATAAAGGTATTTATAAGAAGAATACAGAAAACTATATCGATATCAGAATCCAGTCTGTCCATGTATCCAATGTATCTGTACACATATAAACTGATATATATTTTTCTAAATTTATATTCCTTGTTATATAATCGTATCATTTAACAAGGTACATATCCTCAACATCATTTGAAATAAATTTATTTCGTATATTAGAGAGAGTTAATGGTATAGTACGTAGGGAAACATGTACTCAACAGTACAATATAAGCGAGAAACACGCTTAGGAACGCTAACCATTCTATAAGCACTATAATATATTTCCATGGTGATCTTTTGTTATTCGATTGTACGAGGTCAGTATTATCGTCCATATCGGCTTCTATCTTGGCTGTCACGGCTGGGTCTAGGAGGCTAACTAGAAGAATTTGTCCAACTCGACTGCGCAAAATGGATGTCGTGATGGTTGAGATCCACATGGGTGGCTCGGTAGTCAATTCTTGCAGATGCCGCAAGATACTGGTGACAATGAGAGCGAACGTTGCTATCCCAAGAGAGCTCTCGTAAAAGAAGACTAAAATAAGAAACATTTGAGATTACTTTCCTTTTTTTCTCTTTGTTTCTCTATTACACGTAATTAAACTGGAAAAAATTATCTAAAAAGCTAGCGATCATGTCAGATGTTTACGAATTAAATATATAAGTGGGTGAATTAATTTTACAGAAATTCATATGTTGAAATATTAGTTGTGCGCGCGCGTAAGATGTTAAGAATTGTAGATTTAAGATGAACGATATTATAAATAACGATTTTTAAAATTATTGTCTTATTAAATATACTTACGTATTTTGGGAATGTTAAAGCCACTTTTTGGTACTTCCCAATGCACGCCTTGTATACATAATAAATGACAAATAAAATTGAGATTAGCAATCACCATTCGCTCGAAAGATTTCGGTTCTAACCACAGTGTCATCAGAGTCATCACCATTAGTACTGTGAACATTATGTAAAATGCATTTAGATATTAAAATTAATAGAAGAAAACAAAATTAATTTACTTATTGAAAATTAAGTTATTATCTATCAACATGTATACCAAATTTAAATGATCAAAAAATTGTTTTTACAAAATTTGACCGTTTTTATATATGCTTTGGATAATAAGGATAGTTTGATAATAAAGTAATATTAATTAAAATTAAAGTAAAATACAACAAACCTATAGCAGGTGATAAAAATACTATGCGTATTATACTCGAATGACTCCTCAGAATAAAATGAAAAGAAAGCATTTTGATGGTCGAATCCGAATTGTACTTATATTTATTTTGCCATTTTGTTATATAAATTTTCTCTAAATTCCACTCGGTATGCTTTACTTCTATATTTGACTGTAAAATTATTCAATTAGTAAGTAAAGTATAAGTATAAAAAATATTACTAAAAAAATCAATTGTTTTTGGTACATATCGTGCAAGGCATATTATTTAGATACAAAAATTCATTTGTTTTCATGGAAAAAGAATAAAATTATACCAAATTCTGGTTGGAAGCAAGCTCGATCTCATCACCAGAATGTGACCACGATCCGAATTGTATAGTACAATTTAAGGTATTGTACGGCCACCACGTATAATCTGTGAAACAACTTGATGTATATTTTGCTGCCACAAACCATCTAACTGTTCCTTGTCTCGAGACCCAACATTTTGAACGTTCATTATTCAATGAGCTTTCTCCAAATCGTCTAAACGTACAAATAATTTTATAAATTCTACTTAAATCTAATATTACATATTCCGCAATTTAAACGTTAGAAGTTAGGAAATATCAAAATATTTTCTACATCTCAATCTTAGAGTTATTTTAACTTCCCGATATAATCTTATTGATGCTTGTTGAAATTGTACCGTTGTTTTTCTACGCCAGATATCAATAGACATTTTTTAACTGGCGTAATACATTACTTGCTATAGTATTTTAATAGTATTTAAAACGTAATTATAGAAATAGAATTCTCGGATTCTGATATTAGAAAATTAATATATTTATATAAGAAGTGTGACAACAGATATTAATATAATTATTGATAAATTTAAATGACAATGTTTTTAATTGGTAAAAGAATATATGTTTACCCGTTATGCATCAAAACGTCGGGAATCCAAATTTGATAGCCTATTACAGGTATCCATTTAATGTTATCGTATTGTGCAGGATCCCATGTCAAATGTGAATCATTCCACATCTATCCAAACAAAAATATTAATATCAAATTTATATATATATAAACTTGTATTTAGAAACTTACAAAGTAATTATTAAAATGAAAGTGCATTCAAAAATTATTCATTAATTAAACATCTGAATAATCGATAGATATATCACTTCCTTTTCTTAAACTCATTTCTTAAATACATTTATACGAATGTACTATTTCTACGCAATTATGTAGACTTACCATTGACATCCACGTATGCAACACGAACATTTCACTTTCGTGAGTCTAAAAAATAAATAGGTAATATTTTTCGCAATAAAAATTAATTAATTACAGATTTTAATATGTCATTTAACACTATTAGATCGTTTCGAAGATGCGAATAAGCATAAAAAATTTGTTAAATTGCTAGTCAATTTAACTCGTGGTATTACCGCGGTAGTTTAGTAGAGTTAGTGTTTTAAGATCGAAAAATTATTTCGACGCGCGTTTCTGGGGACTACATACGTAATATATAAATTCACACAAGAATCATACAAGCATTAAGATCCAGCTAGACCGTTTAAGGTTTTGATTTCTATGGTTTGTAAAAAATAAATTATAATTTTAAATTTTCTTTTCTGAATTCTCTCTCTTGGTTTGTTAATTAAAACTCATTTTTTGTCTATTTAAAATTACAAAAAGATATTAATTCTTCGCGTTTTTTAATATTGCGCACATTGACTGATATTATTATTATCATATTATAATATTGTTATTATTATTACTTACGTATTCAAAGAATTGTGGCTTCAGATAGAAATTCACACGCGTCACGTTATTATTATGCTGGACTGGTCTTACAGCTGGATCATATTCGCATAGGAGATGCCTTTTCAATTGCACCATGGGCGATATGTTCTCAGAGCTACAACTGCTTTCCGCTATCACATCGGTATATGCAATGAAACTAAACAGGAAGACGGAAAAGAAACCGTTTCTACCCATCTTGAATATCTATACGACGAATGGATCTACAATGACTGAATCGCTTAGCAATGGATTATGTGAGAGCAGAACTGATGATAATTATACGCCCAGTGAAACGTAAAACTGCAGGCCATGAAGACCGCCCCCTTAGGAACAAGCTCTTATCAACAATAGAAATAATTTCTTTTTTTTTAAATAACAAACGACAAATACATATTTCGGATGGAATATATCATCTTAATCGTATTAACTTTTTTATTTACGTTATTTCGTCTATTTTGAATTTGAAAATAGAAGATGCAGCATATTTGTATAATCTTTGTAATGTTTTCATAATTATATGTTTTTATAATTATTTTGATAATTACAACTACGATTATTACAATTGTGATAATAATATTTGAATTTATGATAAATAAAGAATTTTCGAGCAGATAAGAATAATAAAGATAAAAATGACCTAATTATTCAGAAAATCGAATTTAAAACCAGCTTATTTTTATATTAATAACTTTTTATTGATTATTTCATTGATTCTTTAGTATAGCATTTTTAACAAATTTTGTATACATTATTCATTTTAAATAACACAAGTCCATAAAAAAAAGTGCCTTGTGCTGGGGTGGAGATCCAGCTATTCTTATGTATTTTGAGTCGCTGAATACGAATTTGACATAAAAATAGGACTATCCAGAGCAAATTTTCAATCTAGAGCGAAAAAATGAATCAAAAATGAGAAAAAATGGGTAATTTTTTCGCTCTAGATTGGAAATTTGTCGTGAATGGTCCTATTTTTATGTCAGATTCGTATTCAGCGACTCAAAATACATAAGAATAGCTGGTTCTCCACCCCAGCACAGGGTACTTTTTTTTGGTGATAATTTTTCTTTCTAGACTTTTTTAAATTTACTTATAGTTACAAATGTAATTATTAAATGCTATAAATTGCATAAGTTATTTGTATAAAAAATATGATTAACAAGGTTTAATAGAAGGAAAAAACAAATAGATAACATTTTAATTAAAAATAACACAAACAATTATTTATTTTAATTATTTACAAAAGAGTAAACAGAACAAATTGTTTAAAAGGATGTTGGACATTATGGAAAATATGACAGTGTCATGAATTAATTCGTAGCTCCTGAAAGTAAAAGAGTGATTAAGATGATAACATAGGTGAGGATCACACAGAAGAATGACAACCACTCAATAATAGCGGCGAAATGTCTCCAGGATTCTTTCTTCATTTCGGACTTTGGAGTATCCGAATTGTCTTCAGTCACTATACCTCCATCTGCTATCTTGGATTCCTCGTCGTTCAAGACCAGGAATCGACCAGCCCTGTTGCTCAAAATGAATGTCGTCGTAGAGGATATCCAACTTGGCATCTCCATGCTCATGTTTTGCAGTTTACGTAACAATGCTGTCAGAATTAACGCAAAAGTGGCCAATATCAAGGAGTCACGGTAGAACAGCACTGTAAGATAAATAAAGAAATATAACTTGTTATTTGTAACTTAAATTATGATTTTAATTATATGATTCTAATAACATAATTCTAATCTATATATTTAATCGTATTTTAATTTACGAGTATATATCTATTTTTTCTTCTTTATTTCTTATATATCTATTTTATTTCTATCGCATTAAATAATATTTATACAACATTTAATATATGTATATTGAAAAAAAATTGCTGGTACGAATAGATTTTATCACAAATATTACGAAACTTTAAATATCTCTCTTAAATTTAAGATATTTTTTTTATCTATAATTACGATACTCTTTGTGGTTTTGATACTCACTTATATAAGGAGAATTAACACCATTGAATGGCACCATCCAGTACAAATCGAATATACAGAGTAGGTGACAAATAAAATTTATACTCGCCATCGCTACTCGTTCTACCGATCTTGAATCCAACCAGAGCACCGTTAAGGTGAGGAATATCAAAGCTAGAAAAGGCATTTATAATCTAGGTTTACCATGCAAATTTGTTTTTGCAAGCAATTGCTTACCGATAGCTGGCGCAATATAAGCTCTATAATGTATGCTGTAGTGCCGAGTTAGTAAAAATGTGTAATCAATTCTAGGAAAAGTATCGTTCGGACAACATTTATACTTTTTAACGATTTTTTCTGCGTTTAAAAGTTTCATGTCCCACTGTGTATTATTTTCGTAACCGTTCATGTCAACCTGTGAAATAAATGTAGTGAGTTATTTTAATTTTTTGTAATATGAGATAATAAGATAATTATATTTACTTCTAGTTAAAATAAAAAATAAATAAAAAAGCAGAATAGAGAATAGAGGCGAAAATTGCGCAAACTTTCAAAATTAAATTAAAATGTAAAAAGATAAATAATTTAATAATTTTGAATCAGAATTTTTACTTAACAGTTTTACAATAGTGCATTAATACGAAGCGTCATTAAATTAATAATTTTACAATACATAATTTTTCATCAAAAATAAGATTTGGAAATATATATAGAAAAGATTGATCATTGCAAATTTATAACAAGTCGAACAATTTACGTACTCCGGTTCCGTCTAGATGGACATCTATTTCCTCTCCTATATGCGACCATGAACCGAGTGTGATAAGACATGTGTGCTGATCATAAGGCCAATAAGTATAATCGGGATCGCATTTTGACACAATTTTTATAGGTGGCACGCAAATGACAGAACCATTATTAAAGACCAAACATTCCGTGTTGAAAATTGTCTCGTAATCGTTACTCGTCATATCGCCACTAAAAATACACGAAAAATGATCGAAATATTTACAGTCGGATTTATATCACATAACTGCGAATACTAATATAAAAATGAGAATTAAAACGTTTATCTTAAAGTTAACAATTTGTCTTAAAAAATAGAAAAATGATAATAAAAAATTTAAATTAGATTTGAATTTCCCTAATTTAAAAGAGATATATAAATTAGATTATTTTTCCATTGTATTATTTCCTTATATCTGATCAGATCTCCTTTACAATCGTTTTCTTCATTCATCCTTCATTCAAAAATACTTTACATTTTGTTTCAATTTTGTTAATATTAACAATGAGTAATAATTATACAAAGCTATTTACGAATTGTAGACATAAATATCAGGCATCCAAAGATAGAAGGGCTGTACGTGAATATAAGTAAGTCCATTATAATTACTCGGTGTCCAAGTTAGAAATGCGTCCGTCCAAAACTGTTAATTAAATAATTTATTAAAATAGAAATATAATAATAAAGAAAATATTCTAGACTTACAAATGACATCCAGCTGTGAAGTGTCAGTACACCTTCCTCGGTCTACAAATAAAATTGATTAATTTTTCTTACGTATAGTTATACATTGTTTAATAATTGTCTAATAAAGATAAGAAATTACAAACAATAACAATAGTTTATATTTCGATATAAAACATGTTTTAATCAATTTTTCATTAAAACATGTTTTATGTCAAGAAAGAAAAACTATACAGTAAGATTGCTAAAATATGATAATTTAAAACAATAAAAAATTCACACTAAATATATAGCTATCATACATCATGCTATCTCGAAATATTATATTTAAAGTACGATGTGCGCTTAGCACATTATAAAACTATTTACTTACAATCAAATACTACAATCAATAATGATGCACTTACGAATTCCATCATTTTCGGCATCAGCCTGAGAGTTATATTGGTAACTACTTTATGATGATTTGGACGGACGGTGATATCATAATCACAAAAGAGATATTTTTTAAGACGCAACAAAGGGGTTGTACTTTCTAATTTTTTGCATCCTCGTGTTATAATATCTTCTGTTTCCTTCATAAAGCTAAAAGCTAAAAAAAATACAGAAATTTACATTAAAATTCAATTAATATCAAATTTAATATAAATTAAAATATTTTAATATATATATTACTTTTTGTTTGTGTTTTTGAAATGCTTTTACAATAATATAAAGATTATTTTCAAATGATAGATAACATAGAATTAACTCTAATACAGCAGTAAGCACAGAATTTGTAGCAATATCGCTGTAAAATCTCTGCAATATTGTTACAACATACAATGTTGTTGCAATATTCCAGCAGTGTTACTGCAACTTTTGTACTTTGTACTGTAGGGGTGCTAAATTACTGAATGTAGAATAATATATGTAATAATAATAATTGTTTTAATAAAGATTATTTAACGTACCAAATTGACCATGCCAAAAGATTACGAAAAATCCAAACACTTGTAGTATTCTCATCCTGATCGAAACGAGCCAACGGCTCTGATATAACTAATTCTCTTCGTTGTAGTAGCGTAACAATTAGACGCCTCATGAAATTCGAAACTACTGATATATTGGACGCCCCCAAAGGTATAATCAACACTGTTAGAAATACTTCCTTTACATGTACATAAATGAAGTTTATGGTTATGAACGAAATTAAAAATAATGAATGATTTAACTGAAAATTAAGTTACAGTAGTTACTTAAATGTAATAAATATGTACGTTAAATTTCATAAAATTTTGTAAAAAGTACATTAAATTTCATGTACACGTACATAAATATACTTTTCAGTTATAAATATATTAAATTTAATGTAATTCATAAAATTAAGTTCAAATTGTGTAACTTAAAAGTATATTAAATTTCATAAAATTTTTAACAGTGAATACTTGAGAGTTATATGATTAATTAAATAAAGATAACCTTGTATATATGCGTAATTAATAATAATATAATTAATTTCTGATCAAAGTTCTCACAGGTCTTACGAGAATAAGTTACGAGACATATGACGACAATTATTTTTAGTTAACTGTAATGTTCGGATGTGAAAATCTTCGTCCCGTTCGTCATGAAGCACTCCTTGTATACTCGCGACGAGTATAGTGTGTGCGCAGATATAATTGCGTTCAAGATATAAGGCACGCACTTTCTATAATTGAGCCCAATGTACAAGTCGCTCTGAATTTATGTGCTCAGAGCGTGAGCCGTGTAAGGACGCCAGAGTACATGAGAGAGGAAATACAAAGGGAATAATTAAGAGGTAGAACGGGAAAAAGGGCTTGGGCACTAAGTAAATATGACTACAACCCTTAAGGCACTTCCCTTTTGGAGCGAATAGTCATATTCACCCCTAAGTCACGTTTACCTAGCTGCCCCCCCCCCCACTTAACCAAATCTTAATGAAAAAATTATGGAATAATGCGCTATTTATGCGCTATCTATATCCGCAAAAAGAATTTTTGCGCTCATTCCGTTCGAATGCGAGCATTCGTGAGCAAACGATGAGCAAACGAATGCAGAAAAAAAAATTTGATTTTTCCATATTGGGGGGCTAACGTGAAGTTGGCCCCCCAAAATTTAAATTTCGTATAACTTTTGAACTAAGGGTGAGCAAACGAAAATTCCGACGGAGCAATCGTGAGCAAACGATGAGCAAACGAATGCAAAAAAAATATTCGATTTTTTAATATTGGGGGGCTAGCGTGAGGTTGGCCCCCCAAATTAAAATTTCGTATATCTTTTGAGCTAAGAATGAGCAAATAAAAATTCCGACGGAGCACTCGTGACACTTCATAAATCAAAGAATTGTTTTGCACAGTCAGTGTATTTAATTTTGCAATTTTAAATGACTTAGGGGTGAATATGACTGTTCGATCCAAGAGGGAAGTGCCTTAAGGGTTGCAGCGCAACCATCAAAAATGCCTGAAAATAGTGGCGCATAAATAGCGCATAAAGTCTATTCGTCGCGTCGCTCGTTTATTTCGGAAGTGCTGTTCAAATAATATAATTGATTCGCCCGCGATTGTAGTGTATTGTTCGCAAATGTACTATGCGAAATGACAATCCAGTTTTGAGGGAAGGAGGAGGTCTGGGAAAGATATTGGGCATCGGTGGAGCATGATGTGCGGTAAATATATATTATTTTTTACTTATATAAAATTAATCTTTTCCTTGTTTGTTCTTAAATTATTTCATTTTACAATAATTTAAAAATAATAATTAGAAAAAAGAATTACTTTAAATTGTTTTGAAGTTTTAAAAAAATGTATCCTTGTTTTAAGATAAGATCTTTAAAAAATATAGATGCAATTATTTTCATGAACATCTGTAATTAAATAATGGATAAAATAAATTGATGTTTATAAAAATTATGTTTTAAAAATTACGTGGTTATTTTGTAGAAAACTGTGCATGCGTTTAATAATTATTTTTTTATGCAATAATTGTTTTTCTGTCGGATTTTATTTGAATTTTAAATTTGTATTTGTTACAGAATCATCGTAGATACGTTGCAGGTACATTTCCGCTGTTGCGCGTCGGATTGGTGAGTGATAAATTAACGTTTTCATTGAGATAACGGAGGTGTAGTAATTTCATTAATATATCATATACCTAGATGCAATATGCATCAATTTAATGACAATATACGACCGAGTAGTATATACATCCGTTACTTTAAAATAAATAAGTTTAAACAGATTAAGATATACTTAATTCTTAAGATAAACTTAATCTCTATTTTGTGAATTAATCTGAATAAATACAAATTAAACAAACAAAAATAAAAATTATTTGACGTTAACAATCTTCGCTATGGATTTAATTTTTTGTGGAGAAAAAATAATTAAGATAATAACACGTATCAAAATGATGTTTAAATGTCATGGAGAGTATCCCATTTGTAGAAGATATAACGAACACTGACAAATATTCTATCGTTAATATTCTTTATCACAAATTAATCCACAGGTACTAAAATAATCAAGATAGTTATATAAGTAAGAATCACACAAAAGAAAGATAACCAGTCAATAATAGTAGCAAAATATTTCCAGGACGATTCCTTTAGGCTTATTTCAGATTCTGTAACATCTGAACTTCGTTCAGTCTCTACATCTCCGTCTGCAATTTTGGACTTGTCGTTTTTGAGAATCAAAAAACGTCCAACTTTGTTGCTTAAAACAAATGTCGTAGTGAACAAGATCCAACTTGGTGTCTGTGTGCTCATATCTTCCAGTTTGCGTAACATCGCCGTCAGTAGCATCGCGAATGTTGCCAACGCTAAGGATTCACGATAAAATAACACTGCAAGATGAAAGATAAAATAGATCAATTTATTAATAATTTACGCATTTGTTAAATAGAATTTATTGTATAATTGAAACTATGTTTATATTTTAAGATCGGTTTTAATGCTAACTAATACTTATTCTTCGGCATTTACGACATATTGTAAATTTTTGAATATAATTTTCATTCTAGTGAATATGTGTAATCTTATACTTTATATTTTCTTCAACAAATTAAATAAAAAAATATTTTAGATTACAGTAATAGTATAATTACTTTTTGAGTAATCCATTATTCTGAGCATACAATTAATCAGAAAATTAAAAATTATTCGGATTCTGATTAATCTAATGTCGTTATAAAAAAAGTTTGTTGAAATTATAAATTAGGGAATATTCTTTACATATTTTATACTTTGATGATGTCATTAAAGATTTTGTTACTTACATATATTTGGGGGATTAACACGATTGAATGGTAGAATCCAAAACAAAAAGAATATGCAGAGCAAATGACAAATAAAATTCGCACTTGCCACCGTCATTCGTTCAACCGATTTTAAGTCGAGGCAGAGCACTATTAAAGTGAGTAGTATCAAAACTGGAAAGAAATGTATCGTGCTTAATATTAATTATTCCCTGCACTTCTACTTTGTGAGCAATTACTCACCGATAGCCGGTACAATAACAGTCAAGTGATGTTTGCCGTGATGACGCGTCAATAAGAAGCTATAATTGATCCTTGGGAATGTATCGTTTGGACAGCATTTAAATTTTGTGGCTTCCCTCATCGAACTTGTAAATTTGAAATCCCACTTTGTATCATTCGTGTAATCGCTCATAGAAATCTGCAAAGAATATTATTTTTTTTACAATAAAAATATTTGCAATCAATAGTGGGTGCGATTAAATATTCTATTCTTTTTTTTAAATAAAATAGTAATCTTTTCTATGTAGATAAGTAGTACTGTACAAAAGATAAAAATACTAAAAACGCGATTATAAAAGTATTTCTTATTAATGTTAGATACATTAACTCTTGAGATTTTTGCAGAGTGTGTAGTTTCTTCATAATTTTATTAAATTAATATTCGCATACAAAGAAAATATTATTTGGAGGAGATAAGAATAATTAACAGTCACTATTAATGTAATGATAATGCAATGATAATAATGATATTATAGAGTTCGACCGAAACTTTTGCCGAAACTGAACCGAAACACTCGTCTACATATCAATTTCAACCGAAACTGAAACCAAAATTAAAAAATAGGAATCCTATAAAGGCCATATGAATAGACATATCCTTACATCATCTACTTTTTCTTCATAAATATCATAATTTATTGAAATAATTAAATTTCGGCCGAAATCAAAAACCGAAATTTCGATTGTGTGTCAATTTTGGACAAAGAATATAAATACTTCTTCTTCATAAACATCATAATTTAATTATTGAAAAAATAATTACAATATTAAAATTAATATTTATAAAGAAGAGCTATATATGGTTTCAGTCGAAACTGACACGTACATAATGAGTGTTCGTTTTCAGTTTCGGTAAAAGTTTCGGTCAGAATTACACAAATAATTAAGAAATTAAATGATTTTTAACTAAAGCGCACACCCCATTTCCATCTATTAACAAATCAACTTCTTCTCCTGTATGCATCCACAAATAAAACGTGACGCGACATTGATGTTTATCATATGGCCAATAAGTATAATCGGGATTGCATTTGGAAATAAATTTCATCGCGGGTACGCAACTGACAGAGCCCGAGTTGAAGAGCAAGCATTCTGTCATAGGTAGTTCATATTGATCACTCGACATTTCACCGCTAAAACAATTGAAAAAACTGATTAAAGATTAAAAAATATGATGTAGAATTAAATGCCTTTAACGATCTATAGAAGGGACAGAATTAATTTTCAAAAGTTAATTTACGAATCATTAACATATAGACTGGGCATCCAGATCCGCCAGCTTTTCACATGAATAAAAGTAATCCCGTCGTAATCGCTCGGTGTCCAAGTAAGTTGTGAGTCCGTCCAAGCCTGTGAAATATTGTATTAAAATATCAAATATTTTACTGTGTTAGAACAAGGATGAGACAAGGCCTGTTCTTTTTAGCTGAACTTTTGCACCTGTTTACCTTTCTTCCTTTTCTCTCCAGGAGGAAAGAAAAGGAAGAAAGATAAACTGGTGCAAAAATTCAGCCAAAAAGAACAGACCTATAATGTAAAAAAAAAATGGTGCACTCACAAGTGACATCCAGCTGTGTAAAGATAATTTACCTTCTCCTTGCTGTAAATAAAATGATATAATTATTTTTAAACATCGCAATATATTAAATAGCTATCAAATATTAGAAAAAATGAATGTTTTATCAAAATTTACGTTTTATGTGACAATAGTAAAAGTTTTTTTTTGTTAAAATATATGTTTAATATTAAGAAATAGAAGTAAAATTTACAAAGTTTCTATAAATTGTATATTTAGAGAATAACTTTCAGTTTATTATAATTTTTATTCCATTTTTTTAAATTAATTTGTTAATTTATATATTGTAATATCTTCATAACTATATACTTACGAAATTTATTAACTTCGGCATTAAGTGCATAGTGACATTAGTTGTTTTAGGATAATTCGGATGAACAGTAGTATCATAATCGCAAAAGAGATGATTTTTAAGGCGCATTAATGGCGAAGACTGTTCCAATTTCTTGCATTTCCATGTATTCACGTTATTTAATAAATTGATCGACAAAACTAAAGCATCTATGAAAATATTAAAGATACTCACTAATTTAAAATTCACAAATATGTATATCTAACAAAAAATAGTATTTGAATTAAATATAATTATGTAATTTAAATATTATTTTTTACTAAAATGATTTATGAGACGATAGAATTGTAATATTAAAATTATTTTAAAAATATCAATAACGTAAACATTATTGAACTTAAAAATACGTAATTGCGCAAATAGTTCTATTTTAATTTAATTTATTGTCTTACGTACAAGATTGATCGTAACTGATGCAAAGAATACCGAGGAATCCGAACACGTTGAATATTCTCATTTTGATCGTTACAAATCAACGACTCCGATTGAACTAATTCTGTTCATTATAGTATCAGATTAATTATCAGACAGTTCGTGAAATTTGACGCTATATTGATATCCCGAACGCCCCCAAGGTATGGACGTCCGTATCGATTTATAAGTTTTATAACAACCTGCACAGTCAAGTAAAGATTTATATAATATGAGATTCGAAATTTCCAATTCTTTAAAATTGTTTTGTAAATTGCCGTATTAATTAATAAAAATATCTTGAGTTTATAAGTGCTATGAAATACATACGGGAATATTTTGATATACAATATTTTTTGACAAAGTGATTTTCCTGCTATTATACTGCTGTATGAAATTTACTTACCTTTAATACCGAGATCAGTTTCCTCTGTACTCATGTAGAACTTTAATAAAATTTTTTAATTATATGTATCTCGTACATGATTATATATGAAATTATACATGATTATATATGATTACATATAATTTCCTACATGATCATGTATATACGATGTTATATAGCTATTAAACTGATTTGTCATACATATATCGTATGTCCACTAACATTCAGTGTTCGTGGATTATCGAAGCATCAGTTCCCGTAAAATCACAAAAGTCACGTTAATCAAAGTATGGCTTGGGATAGGCGATTAGAATAAATAAATACAAGATAATCATGAGTAGCGAAATATATGAATGGCGAGGTATTCGAGGGTTACGAATTTTCAAAATAACTACATGTCATTGCGATGGACGGAGCATATTTACATACCGCATACAAAATATTCTACATATTTACAAAAATAGCGATTACAACAATTATATTTGCGTTTGAAAATGATATATATATATATATATATATATATATATAGTCGAAATACTCTCTAATTAACACTTTAATTCATTTTTATAGTTTTTAAAATCGTTGAATTATAATTGTCTACAGTTACTCATAATTTATCTTATGATTGAAAAGTGCAGCAAAACGTTTGTAATGTTACATCACTTTGCTGCATGTAAGTAGAAGATTAAGATATATAAATATATTTATGTAATCGCTAATACTATATGTATAATACACTGAAAGAACGGTTTTGATAAAGTATCTAGAAATTTAGCTAGATTTTGAAATTTGAACATAATTTTGTTGAACTTCTAAAATAATTACAAAATTATTCCAATAAATAATTTTATTGGAAAAATTTTGTAATTATTTCAGGAGTCCAACAAAATTATTTTCAAATTTGCATCTAGCTAAATTTTTAAATACTTTAGTCAAACTTTTCCTTCTATATAACAACGTTTCATGTGGCAAAACGTGTCTCGTCAGATTCTCCCAAAATGTCGCTACACTGATATAACTGATATAACATTCTCAGTCATAAAATAGTAATAACCTTTATTGCGTTCTCACATGTAGCAATTACAACATAAATTTCACAAATTCGCTCTGTTATCGATATACTCGTCGTCGTCATCTGCGAACTTGATGCCATCCTCATTTTCACGGATCAGATCGTAGAAGGAGTCGCGCGATTCGGTCTTTATGTCGCTCTCGACTCCGTAATCAGGACTCTGAATTTCCTTCTTGGACAAACTGATGTTTATGTTGTCCGTCGTTAATCTCCGTGCTGTCGCTGGTGAGTTCAGTCGCGGTCCCGAAAACTCGATCATAGGAATATTAGTACAATCCGAGAGTTTATTGATCTCACGTGGTTGCGTAAATTGCGTGAAGTCTCGGTACTTGCACGGACCGCTCGTTATGTTTAAATTTGTCGTTAAAACGATGTCGGATGTGGGATCGTCCTTAGCACTCTGAAAAGCCCTGTCTTTGCCGTCTATGTATCCCTGAGTCTTCGAGCTCATTGATTTGCCAGACAGTTTGGACGTATTTTCATTTTTTAAGCAATGATTCTTCTTGTCATTCTGAGAAACGTCCTTTGTTTTTTGATTCACGTAAGACTTTGAGGTACCATGATGAGGGACTGGATCTTCGGGATACCTTTTGAAAGTTTGTTTCGATTTCTCCGATTTATCCTCTGACTTGGCTACATCGGCAATATTTACATGACTATCCTGTGGACCGCTTTTCAAAGCGTTCTGTTCCTGGGAGAGATCAGTGCTGTGAAGGCGATTGGGAATGCTGCATTGTGTCCTGTCGATTGCAAGTTGACTGCATAGAGACTCCTCGCTGACCCGAGTCCTGGAGTCCTCCAGGATCCGGTGAATTGGCAGCAGGCGTTCGTTCAGTCTGGCAGTTCTGTTTTCGCTGATGCTATCCTCGGACAGAACGCTACCGCCTGACGACGAGTCGTTCTTCGACGACGACGAGGACGTCGAGTCCTGGCGTTGCTGCTCGAGACTCGGTCTAGTCTCCTCGACACTAGACGCGATCTGATGTCGCATACGTCGATACTCGGCCGGGGTCAGGGTCGCGCCCTCGGTGCTCTCCGGCAGTTGGTACAACGCCGGACTCGTCGTGCCTTGAAAACAATCCGGACGATCCGCAGATGGACCTTGAGAATCCTCAGACATCGACAACGGGGGTATCCATAGGAGAAAAGCTGGATCCATACCTAAGTACGAGCCTGGCGCGGCGCCGGCATTCGCAACGTTGTAATCGTAATAGTCGAGCTCCATATCCGTCTCCGGATTTGTCAGACTGAACTCCGAACCCGGTCCTTGTAGCAGTCGCTCGCGATTTCGACGATCCTTCGTCTCTTTACCGCTGCGGAGTATGGGTGTGCCAGATAGTGGGCTGCTCGTCGATGAATCCTAATAACATTTTTCGATTTTAAAAATTTAATAACTTTTTGGCACTAACGCAAAATGTTTAGTTAAAATTAAATTTACCTTTTCCTTAAATTTTCTCTGAATAACAATACGTGATTTATCTGACACACTTAAATAATTATTATAGATCTTTTATCATATTTAGGTTTTTTATCATCTCAATTTATTTATCTCAATTTAATTAAAGTTAGGCGTATTTATAAAATATCGCTGCGTTATCAGAATTAGAAGATTTAGAAGAAAATTTATTTCGTTTCTTGCTTTAACTTTCGCTCCTTTGTGTAATTGTTTAAATGAAATATACATAATCAGATTAGACCTCACCTTAGACTGCAAAGGATTAGACGTGTAACGATGAAGTCTTGCAATATGCGGGCTCTCGGTAATACTCGCTGTGCTTTGACATCTCGTGTTGCTCGACATCAATTTGTTCGCTGAACTAATAGATCCCAGAGTTCGTAATCTACAATGTGAGTAAGTACAAATTATTTTAAACTGTTTGATTATATATTGAGAGATTATACATTCACATAAATATTATATAAAATTTCTCCATCGAGAGTAGTGAATTATACTTACTTGATTGGTTGGGCATATTTTATTTCCGGCTGACCAATTGCCATAATAGCCGATACTGTCACCGGTGGTTCATCGGTGTGCAATTTATTCGGTATCATACTTCTCTCTGTACAGTTTTCGTCGTCATCTCGAAACTTCAAGGTAGTCGAGCTCAAACTGGTTTCGTCTTCGTATCTGTTACACCAAAAATATACCTTAAAACGCTAATATCTAAAACTGATATGTAGGTCGTGATAAAACATTCAATGGATCGATAACTCTTTCATAGAATAAATAATGCAAAATCATGTAATTCTGAGTATAACATTAAAATATTAAATATTTAAATACGATTGAATTAAAGATCAGGAATCGAAATATATCATATTTCAAAATGTTAATATTAAATATTAGGCAATGAATTGTTACTTACTCCGCCAAAGTTTCCGAACTATCGTAACCATCCTCCACCGCACAAGGTGCTATTTTACGTTTCGACAGTTTTGGTGTACACTTTTTTGGCAGTCCCACTAGAGACACAACTTCCGAAATTAACGTCGTAGAAGACATCGATTTCGCTCGGCCTACCATCATATCACTGCATCCTAAATAATTTATTAATTCTAACATTTTCATTTTCTAACACGTCTTTATTTAACACACATTAGTCATAGTTTATTATTAAAATTAATAATTAGTTTTTTTAATTTTAATATTAATATTAATATAATAATTAATTTTAATTAGAATATTAATATTCATAGTTTTATAATAAGTTTTATTCTATAAAATAATCACTTGCTATTGACATTACAATTTTTAATAATCAATAGATAGTTATCTTTTAATACACAAAATTGTTAGATACTTACCAGAATGCTCACTCAAGGTATCTAAGTCCTCTGCGATATGGTACTTTCTATATTTCAGTGCAAATTGCAGTGCTAGAAAAATAGATATAAAGAATATAAGTATCAAAAGGGATGCTGTTGCTAGATGCGCGGGTCCCCAGAAGATCCATTGCTCAACAGTGAGAGTAGAATTCGTTTCCGAAGGAAGTGAAACCAACGTCTTATTCTCATATAGTTTTTCTGAAAAAATAAATTATATGAATTAAACATATCTTGAATACAGTAAACGAACACGGAAACGATATAAATAAAAGTACATAATAATCATTTATTACGCAATTAACACTTCACTGCATTTAATAATATATCTATTACTAGATATTTAAAAAATATTAAGATTTTACTTTATTTTGCTCAAAACATGATAAACAATAAAAATCATATTTTAGATCGTACATGTAAAAATGAATCAATACGAACTAAAAATGCCTATAGCAGTCGAAGCTAAATCTTTAGTGCTTAAATAATTTAATGTGAATTATATATATATATATATA